AAAAAAAAGAAAACCTTTTAAGTCTCGTGTGTTCTGGAAGAACGCGTCTGCATTCTCCGCGCGCCTGCACTGCCATTCCCGGGGACCTGAATTAGAGCCCACGACTGCCTCTCCGGGGCTCAGTTTCCCCTTCTCAGGAGACGGCAGCGGGACAGGACGGGCTGCGCGCAGGGCACAGGTGCTGGCTCTGAGGGACGGAGGCCACCTTCGCGGTTCCAGCCTCTGTCGGCAGGGGCAGGGGCGAGGGCCTGCGCAGTGCGCATCCTGGGGAGACCGAGTCCCTGCTGGGTTTTGTGCACGTGACAGACACCGGAGCGCCTCACTTGGCTGGGACCCTTCCAAGCTCTCTCTTTTTAATTTTTATTTATTTGCTTATTGCTGGGGATTGAACCCAGGATCTTGTGTGTGCTAAACACGTGGTCTGCCACTGTGCTATAGCATCAGCCCTTTCTCCCCCCTCCACCTCTCTTTTTTCCTTTCTTCTTTTATTGGTTTTTTGAGACAGGGTCTCACTATGTAATCCAAGTTGGCCTTGAGCTCATGGTGGTCATCCTGCCTCAGCCTCCCAAGTGCTGGGATTATAAGCAGTGCCACGTCCAGCTGTATTCATATTTTACTACGCATTTTTAAAAATTCCTTCTCCCTACTCATTCGCTACATGTCAGGCCCATAGAACCCGAATCTGCCCTTGGTGAATGCATGCTTAGATCCATGCCTATACTGTGCCTTCCCCCTTCCCCATCTTGCTTGCATTGCCCCTCCCTCCCTCCCTCCCTTCCTTCCTCCCATCTTCCTTTCTAGGGAAGGAGCATAGCTATGATGACATTTAGGATTTGGAGGCATCCCATCTGCATTTGGGAACAGTCAGAGAAATGGAGGCTGGAAGCTGGGCAGGGGTGACCAGTGGTGGGGCTGGGGGTTGGGGGTGCGTGCTCTGGATGCTTGTGACGTTCTCCGGGGCATGAACCTGTGTGGTGCCTGGTGTGATGCCGTGTGTGCGCCTGCCGTGGTAGGATGTGTGTCTCCCCCACCCCATGCTGCTGAGGCCAGCCTGAGCCTGTGTATTCTGTGGCTGTCACTGGAAGCGCTGTGGTTAATGAGGTCCCTTGGCCAGGGAAGCCCCAGGGGCCAGGCCTCAAAGGCAGAGCAAAGGGCTTGTTGCCAGGAGCCCAGCACGGAGGGAGGATGTCAACCTTAGGAGATCTTGAGGGACTGTTGGGCTGAGGCTGGGGCTTCCACAAGTTACAACCAGTTGCTCTTGGAGATGCAGTGATTTCGTGTCCCTGGGAACATCACCCAGTCACCAGTGTGGACCAGCTCCTTGGCTTGAGGCATCCACAGTGAGCAGACCGGGTCAGGACCAAGCATCTGGTTTCCATGGTGATGTGTTGCCATGGTGACCGTGAGTGCTCCCAGTCCACAAGACCTTTGGAGGCAGCACTGGGAACAGAAGGCAGGTTCAGAGAGGGCTGGAGGACTCTCCAGAGTTATTCTTTGCTTACTTCTCACCTTGTAGAACAACTCACCTATGTGTTAACTCTCCATTCTTACAACAAATAACTGAGATCATCTGTTTATAAAAAGAAAAAGTTTACTTTGGCATACACTTCTGGAGGTTCCAGTTCGTGGTCTCTGGATTTGGGCCTGCACTGAGGCAGTAGAAGCAAATTACTCAGCTCACAGCCAGAAAATAAAGGGGGCAGAGATTCTGCACTCGCCTCCAAGGCCACACCCCCAGTGACCTCGCTTCCATGCCAGGCCCGCAGTAGTGCCACAGACTAAGTCTTTAACAAATATTGGGTCAATGCCCATTGCTATCTGTATATTATGATATGTTTCTGTAGTATTGTATGCTTTTCAGAAGTGCTGTATTGAGCTTTTTTTTCTGTCTTAGTCATTTTCTTGTCGCTGAGATGCAATAAGCAACACCCCCAATCTAGAGGAGGAGAGGTTTATGGCAGCTCACATTTTTAGTCTATGGCTGCCTGGCTCCAAGTCAGGAAGGGCCCGGAGGAGGAGAGCTGCTCAAGGTGGGTGGCAGGGAGGCAGAGAGAGTGAGAGGAAGGAGGGAGGGAGCTGTACCCTTCCGGCCATGTCTGCAGTGACCCCTCTTCTGACCTGGGCCTCCTAACAGCAAGCGCGCTCTTAGCCCCGCAACCCAGTCACCTTCTAAAAGCCCTTCTATGAACACATGAGGCTCTTGCTGGACATCTAGATATAAACCATAACACGTTCTTTGTCAGTACTAGAAATTGAACCTAGAAAGTGCTGAGCTACATCCTCAGCTCTTCAGTGTTGAGCCAAGGTCTCACTAAGTTGTCCAGGCTGGTCTCAGACTTGCAATTCTCCTGCCTCAGCCTCCCAAGTGGCTGGGATTACAGGTTTGGAACCCTGCACTCTGCTCTTTTTTTTTTTTTTTTCATAGTGCAAGGGAGCACCCAGGGCCTTGTGCCTACTAGGCAACCATTCTACCAGTGAGCTTCACCTCAGTCAAGTTATTAATTTTTTTTTGGTACCAGGGATCGAACTTGGATCCTTGCGCTTGCGAGGCAGATGACAGAAACACTGAGCCAAATCCCCGGCCCCAGGTTATTAATTTTTGAATTGAAATATATCCCAAGAGTGTAAGAAGGGGAAAATGTGTTCAGTAAGTCAGTATCTTCTTTTATCCCAGTGGCATTTTGAAATACACATGCATCGTTATAAACATGAGAAAGAAATCATCTCTTCACAGGGGCCTTCCCTGACCGAGGCCTAAATCAGGAGCAGATGCTCTTGCCATCTCAGCCTGTGCCTCTCATGGAATCACCACAGTAAGGTGACTGGGAGATTTTTGCTTCCTAGTTGGGGGCTTGTTGCCCCCACTGAACTTCAGGCTCACAGACATGCTAGAATGCAGCCCCAGAAGCTCCCAAACTCAGTGGCTGGACTCACACAGCTTCGTGCTCAAACATGCCAGAGTGCTGGTAGCTGGTCCAGGCTGGCGTGGTGGCTGGAGGTGTCCCCAAGCCCTTCTGGGCTCCCAGGCCACCTCCCCACTCAGCCATCAAGACTTAAAGGCACCTGGGCCAGTCCACTCTTTGGCCTCACTGCCTGGTCCAGCCAGCCCAGACCCTCATTGTCCTGACAGAGGCGCATCTGTGTGGCTTCCTGAATCCTAGAGCAAGATGCCGAGGCCAACCCCGTGCTCATTCAGTCACAGCAATGCCGGATTCTCAGTGCACTTTCTCTCTTGGGTTGTTACTGAATATTAATTTTTCCTTCTGTGGCTATCACTCTGTCCACATCCCTGACGCTGAGGCAAGTTACTCACCCTTCGGTGCCTCTGTGCCCTCTTCTGTAAAATGGGGACGACCATCATTAGCTTCCTAGTTCCTAGTTAAGAACTCAGTGAGCCTAACACTTTTAGAATAGAGCCCAGCCCATGATAGGCAGTGTCTTGGTAGTAACTGATGTTATTATCTCCTGCTGCTCGTAGCATCCCCAGGAGCTGAGTCAACAGTCACCTCTTCATTTTCAGATGCACAAATGCAAGGACCAGCCAGGCATGCCTGTAATTCCAGCAACTGGGAGGCTGAGGCAGGAGGACTACTGAGAGTTTGAATCCAGTCTGGGCTATGCAGTGAGTGCAAGGCCAGCCTGAACTAAATAGCAAGAGATGCTGCCTCAAAACAAACGAAATAAAAGAAGAAAGAAAAAAACCCCATAAGGACCAGAGAGCTGAAACTACTTGCCCAAGGTCCCTGGCAGGTAGCCCAGTCTGGGTTGAACCTGTGCCTGGACCACGTGGTAAAACTGGGGTGATGTTGGCACCCCTCGTAGGGTCAGGATGTGAGAATCAAACGCCTTCAGTCAAGGGGCAGGCACTTGGAAGGCACTCATCAGACACCCTGCCCTTCCTGCCAGGCTTCACCCTGTCACCCAGGACCCGAGCAGCCCTGTCCCGGGCCGCCCTCTGGTCAGCTGCTTCTGTTCGGCTGGCGGAGACAGCTGGGCAGACAGAGCCCCATTGTCTGTGTCCTCTGGTTTCTATTGTTGAGGGCCCCTCCCAGTGACAGCCCGACCCCCAGTGGCCCTGGAATCATGGGGAAGACGGACGGGCGTGTGAAGATACCCGTGTCCCTCAAGGTTGAGTCACCAGGCCTGTTCTACAGAGGAGGAAACTGAGGCAAGAGAGCCGGTGCGATGTGTGGGGTGTGTGCTTGGCTCACGTCAGAGCTGCCAAAGATGGGACAGGTGGGGGCTGAAAGCGGAAGGGCAAGTGTGTGACCCCAAGACCAGCGACGTCATGGGCTCACATTAGGTCAGAGACAGGAAGACCAGAGCAACCCTCACGGCCCCACGTTTTAGTGATGGACCCCAAAACTCAGAAAGTGCATCCACTCGCCGAAGGTCGCACAGCGAGCCCGGCTCCCTCACCAAGGGAAAACTGGGTGTTTCTCACTTCCCGTCTCTGCCGGGCTCCACAATTTGGAAGAGCGCAGGAACTAACTGGGCGCCAAGGCGGGGCATAGAGTGGCCACACCCCAGAGCGGGGCAACGCCGCACGTTGCTCCGCTGTGCGGCGGGCTGTGGTGAAATCCCCCACGTCTCCGCCTTCGAGGGGCGTGGCTTTCCGAGCCAGGTGAGAGTCCATTGGATATTGTCTGCGTGGGGCAGGAATCTAAGCTTGATGGACGTCCGGGGTAGGACCTTCTTTCGGCGGACGAGCTCCGCGGGATTCCGGCCCTCTGTGAGGCAGGCGCAGGCGCGGGAAAGGGGGCTGAGCTGAGCCTGCCGGACTCCGCCCCCAGCGGAGGCGGCCGCGGCGGGGGCGTGTCCGGGGAGGGGAGGGGAGGGGAGGGGAGGGGAGGGCCCCCACCCGGCTAAGCCCCGCCCCTCCCGGTCGCGGAGCGGCCGCCAGCACAGGGAGGGCCAGGTCCCGGGATGTGAGTGCGGCGGGGTGGGGGTGGGGACAGGGGCGCCGATCCCAGGGGTCCCGGGGGCTCCCTCAGGATGGGGGTTCCGCGGGTGGCCGGGGATGGTGGGCGAGGGGCGCCCGGCCGGGTGCAGGGCCGGCCCGGATCTGGGGGCCGCTGGCGTCCATCGCGGTTCTGACGCCTCCGTGCCGGGACGCAGCCGCCGCGCAGACACCCCCACATTCACAGTTGGGGACCAGAGGCCTGGGGCCACGCCGCCGCTGCTGGGGCCCTGTCTCCAGGGCCAGGCGCACCTGGAGTGTGACCTTGGGCACACCTGGTCCCCAGGGTCACAGCGTTGTCACAGGGCGGCTGTTGTCCTGCGGCCATGCCTGCTCCCGGGACGCTGAGTGAGCCAGGCTGCCGCTGGGTGCAGGGAACCCAGTGAGGAGCTGTTTTGATTCTTGTTGCTGTTTATGACCCATTTCTGAGGCAGAGGGAGTGGGCGGCCGGGTCAGGGCAGGGGAGGCAGCTTTCTCCCCGAGGCCTCCCCCAGCTGTGCGTCTGTCCCCATGCACGCCCAAGGCCACACGCCACCCAGCTGTACCAGCATGTACCAGAAACGCGCTGGCCCATCGTGTACTCGCCGCGCTACAATATCACCTTCATGGGCCTGGAGAAGCTGCACCCCTTCGACGCTGGCAAATGGGGCAAGGTGATCAGTTTCCTAAAAGGTAGGAGGGCCCCTCATCTGCTTCCTCCAGCACACTCGTCCCCACTGCCATCCCCAGCATTAGCTGCGGATCCCCTACCGCGGCCTCCAGCCTCTGACCACCTCTGCCCACTGTCTGTCAAAAGACCTTCCCAACACAGACACCTAAGCATGGGGGGACCCTGGGCCTGTCACTGCGGACAGAAGTCCTGACCCCGCCCCAGAGGCCCAGTAGGGGAGGAGCCACTTTTGCCACAACTCTGTTGATTATAAATGCAGAATTGGGGGCCCAGGAAGTTTGGAAACTTGCCCAGAGCCGCAGCACATAGTGGGCCTGGAACTCAGCTCCAGGTCCCCCCAGCCATGGCTAAATCCTCTGCCCTGCTGTGGGACTGACCTCGTTGTTGCTGGTTTGCAGCCTGGGATCTGCTTTGGGTGGGAGATTCAGGCATCGCCGTAGTGTGCATGGACATCCTCCTTGTTCCTTGACTCACGGGCTCTTTCAGAGAGAAGTAGAAAATGTTACCCAACAGTGGATGAAACACTGACTGTGTTAGAGTCACGGCCACCTTCTGATCACACCGTGGAGGGCTAGCCCATCCATAACACCTGAACTCGTCTTCCTTTGTAACAACTCCAGAGCTGGCCTCAGGCTCTGTGTGTCTTACAGAAAACAGGGTCAAATTGGAGATTGATAACACAGATTGTTTCCATTGAATTTGTTTTTTATTTCTGGTCACCTTCTACTTATGGCAGGGGACACTGATTTTCCATCGCCAGTGGTGACCAGAGTGAGCTTCCAAAGAAAAGCTGGAAGTAGAGCCATGCAGGGAGACACTACGGTGGGGCCCTGGGATGAGCCCGGCCAGCCGCTTCCGGTCTCCAGTCCCTCACCTTTGGGGAACCAGAGCATCACCGGCTGCTTCGAGCAGTGCCCCGCACCACTCCCTGCTCTCAGCCTCAGTTTCTTCTGCAGAATGAAGCCAGGCTTGTCTGGTACCCGTCAGGGGGTAGTGCAGCCTTTCTCAGACATAGGTGCAAACCGTTGTGGGGACCTTGCTGTCTCCTCACACCACCCGTTTCTCTATTAACTGCACATTTTTAATGACTTAGCTTCTGGGATTTTTAAAAAACAAACAAATTTGATTTAAAAAGAAACATTATGTCATCTGAGTGAGAAAAGGCAATTCCATTTGCCATAAATAGAAGGTCATGGTGAAAAAAGAATAAAAAAGGGCAATGAAAACAGCAGTGGAATTCAATCCTGGCTGGTAACTGTTGCCTTGCAGCCTTGGGACCGATTGCTACTCAGTGATCAATGATTAGTGATGATCGATGACCATCTATGATGATCTATAACTGGGGTCAGGCAGGTGTTGGGAGGCCATACCCTGCAGAGCCTCCTGTGATGTCATCAGAAGGTGGAAGGAGAATTGCGAAGAGCTTTTCTCACCTCGAGAGACCCAGCTATCAACCCTTGTGGCCCCTGCTGCCTGAATTCAGCCCATGGCTTTCAGTGGCTTGGGAAACACAAGTGTTGCTCTGGGTTCAATGGCCCCAGCCACCAGGCCTGACCATTGCCCACAGTGGCCTGGGAGGCAGTCTGTCGTCAGGACCCTTTGAGCCAGCAGCACCCACCTCCTCCCGGGCAGGGGCTGTCGGAGGCCAAGGCTGCAGCCTCAGGTGGGGCTGGGGCTGGGGCTGGGCTCAGCCTGGGTCAGCGGGGAAGGAAGCAGGCTGTTTTGTGGTTGCAGAGGAGAAGCTCCTGTCAGATGCCATGCTGGTGGAGGCTCGGGAGGCCTCAGAGGAGGACCTGCTGGTCGTGCACACCAGGCGCTATCTCAACGAGCTGAAGGTATGGACTGCGGGTGGGGACGGAGCAGCTCAGCCCAGGAAGCCCAGGCTCAGGCGCGCCACTTCTGCTCCAGCATGGGGACTTAGGAGTCTCTGTTCTCAAGAGGAGGTGGGAGAAGTTGTACAAAGGCAGCTCTCCCTGTAGGTAGTGCGCGCCCTGTCTTCAGGGAGTGTGCACTGGTGGTGGCTGAACCAGCTTTTGGGTTTTGGGCTCCTACATTAACGCCATTCTTCCTTTCCTTTGAGATGGGGTCTTACTGTGTTGCCTCAGCTGGTCTTGTACTGGGCTCAAGCAGTCCTGCCTCAGCTTCCCTCTCAAGTCCTGGCACTCCCACACCTGGCTGTACATGAGTGACTGAACCTGTGCTCTGAGGCCTCGGAGACCCCTGCTGGGGTGACCAAGGGGGGCCACCCCAGCCCCTCGTCCCCATCCAGTTAAGGCTGTGCCGCTTTGGCCTACATTTATACTGGAGTCTGTTCCAAGGACTTTGTTAAGACTTGTTGAAAACTGCTGGGTTAAAAACAAGTTTAAAATCTCCCCCAGGACTTGGCAGGGACCATTCAGCAGTGAGCAAGCAGGTGGGGGAGCCTGGGGTGAACTGGGGAACCCCTCCCCTTCCCAGATGGTCTTGGCTGGGCCCAGCATGCCCAGAGCCCCCAGCTTCCAAGATAAGCTGAAAATGCCTGTTATTAAGTGATTTTTCCTGATTTATTTATTTATTTATTTGGTACTGGGCACCGAAACCAGGGCCTTCACACTGAGCTACAGCCCTGGCCCTTTAAAAAAAAACTTTTACAATTTTGAGACAGGGTCTCTCTGAGTCACTCTATTGTGTGGGCTGGGCTTCTACTTCGAATCCTCCTGCCTCAGCCTTCCAGAGTGCTGGGATTATGCACATGTGCCACCACACCTGGCCCCGTTTTCTGATTTCTTAACGTGGCAACTCATTTTAAGATATTTCAATCCCATCTTCATACCAAACTGGGCCCGCTGGCTGCCTGTGGGTGACCTCTTTGTAGAAGAGGCTGGCAGAGCTTCTGTTAGCGGCAGAGCTTGTGAGGCTGAGGGGTCCCATCATCCCTTCTGTGGGAGCAGAGGCCAGGCTGGGCGGAGGGTACATCGGACCACAGTGCTGCCAGACTGGCCTGGTGGGGACAGTGTCTGTCCCTGGAGTGGAGGGGAGGCCCTGACGCCAGCGGATGCCCAAGGTCTGCAGCCCCTCCACTCTAAGGGTGAACAAGCCCTGGCCCAGAAGCAGGCTGTGCCCGCTAGATGTCCTGGGGCATCTGGCAGGTCTGGGGGAGACCCTGGCGGGACACCATCCATCCTCCCAGGTTCAGGTTCTAGATGGGGCTGCACAGCGCCAGCTCAGGAGCAGTTACCAGGAGGAGCAGCAGCCCGGCCCCTGGAAAGCGTGTGTGGCCTTGGCAGGAGGCCAGGCTTCGCTGCCCTGGTTTCTGGGGCCGGGCATGTGTGGTCACATACCACAGCTGGGGCCGTGCCAGGACCACAGGCCAGCCAGAGTCCAGGGGGTGGAGCGGGCAGGGACAAGGGAGACGGGACCAGCTCCGAGGCCCCACCCCAGTGAGGGCCATTAGGGTACGCTGCCTCCTGGACTTAGCTCCCCAAAGGTCTGACAGCAGCTTACTATGTGATAGGTAATCATATTTTTTAGAAATTATTACCAGGTAGAGTCCCAGGTAGAAAACTGAGATCAAGGGCAGGAGGGGAATTCAGATATATCAATTGAAAGTATCAACGAGGAGGTTGTGACAGAGTGCTGCATTTGGTTCGGAGTTCCCTGGCAGCCAGAGCAAAAGGAGCAACAGGATTTCTGTAATACCTGCTAAGGCAAAGGAGCAGTCAGTCATTTGACGTAGCTACATCGAATGCCAGTTGTGTGCTGAGCGCAGAGAGAGGAACGCACCAGCAAGTTTCCTTCTTTGAGGACGGTGGAAGAAAAAGCAGCCACAGGAAAGCATTTCAGGCAGTGACAAGGGTGAGGCACCTCTGCGGGCAGAGGAAAGGGATTGAAACTGTGCTGGGGTCTGCGCGACCGTGGTGGGGCACTCAGTCGGCTGCGCGGGCACGGCAAGAGTGGATTTCGTCCCGGGTGCCCTAGGCCTTGGCTATCACCCGCTGTGTGCAAAGCCCCCAGGTCCCACTGAGGCTGGTGGGCTGGATCCACACACAGCACCCATCGGCAAGGACCTGGTGAGCCCGGTGCTGTGCTCTGGGTGCTGTAGGGCCGGAATGGGCCCACAGAGACCCGCCCCTTGCCTGTGGAGCTGGCGTTCAGGGGAGCAGAGTGTGGAAGATGGGAAGGAAGGCGGCGGTGAGGAGCTGGGGGTGGGGCTAGCAGTCACCAGGTCACTGACCCAAGATCAAAGGTGAAGTGTGATCCCAGGCTGCAAGGGAGCATGGACGTCAGAGGGAGGGGCGTTTCAAGCAGAGTGGCCGTGCAAAGGCATCTCCAGCGTGAGAGGGGTTCACACCCCAGCATCACAGGGGCTGGAGGTCAGAAGTCTGTGGGAAGAGAGGGGACAGGGCCGAGAGCCTGGAGTGTCTGCCCCTGACTTACTGTCTCTCCTGAAAGGCCCTTCTCTCCTTTTTTAAAAAGAAGTGGTGGGGCCGGGGATTTGGCTCAGTGGTTTCGCCGCCTGCTGCGCAAGCGCAAGGACCCGAGTTCCATCCCTGGTAGCAAAAAAAAAAAAAAAGTGGTAAAATTCACATAACATAAAATTGCCCGTTACCCAGTTTCAAGGTGACAGTTCAGGGGCCATCAGTCCACTCACAGCGTGGTGCAACTGTCACTTCTGTCTACTTCCAAAATATTTTCATCACCCCAAAAGGAAGCCCTCTTCCTATTATGCAGTGACTCTTTCGTCCTCCCTCCTGTGTCCCCAGAAATGGCTAATCTGCATTTTCTCTCTGAGGACTTGCTTATTTTGGGTGTTTCAAATAGGTGGAATCATGTAATATGTGACCATTTGTAATGGTTCATGCCATTTAGCATGTTTTCAAGGGTCACCTATGTCTAGTATATATCCAAATGCCATTCCTCTTCATAGCTGAATAATATTCCATCGTATATGCATATCACATCTTGTTTATCCATTCATTAGTTGGCAGACTTGTGAGTTGTTTCTACCTTTGGCTGTTGTGAATAGTGTTATGGACATTCACATACAGGTGTTTGTGTGAACATCTGTTTTCAGTTATTTGGGGTTTAAACTAAGGAGTGGAATTGCTGGGTTATGTGGCAATTTCTTCTAAAGAATTATCAAAATGATTTCCAGAGACCACATTATTCCCACTGGCAGTACACCAGGGTTCCAATTTCTCCAAACCCTTGTCACCTTTTGTTATTTTATTTTTGTTAAATAAATGTGGCCAACTTAATAGTATGAAGTAGTTTCTCAGAATTTTTATTTGCATTTCTATAATGGCAGCACATTGGGGCGGGGTGGGGGGGCTTGTTGGTGACTTGCATATCTTTGAAGAAATATCTATTTAAGTCCTTTGCCTGTTTAAAAAACCGGATTGTCTTTTTATTGTTGAGTCGTGGTAGTTCTTTCTATGTTACGGCTATTACATGACTTACAAATGTCTTCTCTCATTCTGTGAACTGTCTCTGTACTCTGTTGATAGTGTTCTTTGATGAACAAATTTTAAAAATTGTACCAAAGCCCATATCTTTTTTCTTTTGTTGTTTGTGCTTTTAGCGTTATGTTTAAAAATCCATTCCCAATTTCAGTGTCATGGCTATTTGTCCCTAGGTGTGTGCTTTTAGGATTTTATAGTTTCAGCTGATATTCAGGTCTTGATAGAGTTTGAATTAATTTTTGTGCATGGTGTAAGAGTGTGGTTTCTTTTTCTTTTTTTCAGTACTGGGGATTGAACCCAAGGCCTTCACACTGAGCTCCCTTCTCAGCTCTTTTTATTTTTTACTTTGAGCCAGGATCTCACTCAGTCACTAAGTTGCTCAGGCTGGGCTCAAACTTGAGGTCCTTCTGCCTCAGACTCCCAGAATGCTGGGATGAAAGTCTCCAACTTCATTCTTTTGCATGTGGCTGTTTAGTTTTCTCAGCACCACTTGTTAAACTGCCCCACTTTGGGCAATGCTGGGAATGAATCCCAGGCCCCTCCATATGCCAGGCAAGCACTCTGCCACTGAGCTACACCCCAGGTGTTTTTCCTCATCAAATGGTCTTATACCCTTGTAGGAAGTCATTGGTCACAGAGATCTGGATTTATTTCTGGCCTGGATATTCTTCATTTGGTCTATCTGTCTGTTCATGTATCAATTCCACATTGCTTTGGTTACTGTAGCTTTGTAGTGAATTTTGAAATTTGGAATTGTGAAAACTCTGACTTTTTCTTTTTAAAGTTGTTTGGACTATTTTAGGCCCCTTTGAGATTCTGTTTGAATTATAGGATCAACTTTTGTTGTTGTTGTTGTTGTTGTTGTTTTTTAGTTTTGGAAAAGGCCACTAGTATTTTGGCAAAGATTGCATCCATTCTGCAGATCTTTGAGGGGACTACTGTCTTCCAATCCATGGACATGGGATGTCTTTTTGTTTAGTTGGATCTTCTTTAATTTTAGCCACATTTTGTAGTTTTCTAGGGAAAGTCTTACACTTCGTGATTCATTTCACTCCCAAGCATTCTTAATCTTTCTGAGGCTATATAATGGAGTTGCCTTCTTAGTTCCCTTGCAGATTATTCACTTCTAGTGCATAGAAATACAACTGCTTTTTCTGTGTTGGTTCCTGCAGTGTGGCTGAGTTCATTTCTCAGCTATAACGGTTGTGTGTGTGTGTGTGTGTGTGTGTGTGTGTGCGCGTGTGTGCGCGCGCGCACATGCGCGCGCTCTGTAGGATCTGTGTGTACAGCATCATGGCATCTGTGAAGAGTGATAGATTTTGCTTCTTTCCAATTCAAAGCCTTTTATTTCTTTATCTGCCTGATTACTCTGGCTAGAATTTCCGGTACTGTGCTGAGCAGAGGTTCCCCACCAGGCCTCCCTGTGGGACTCCTCATCTTCGGTGGAAGCATTTGGTATTTTAGTATTGAGTGTGATGTTCACCTTGGGTGTTTTATTTGGTTTCCTTTTGTTTTTAATACCCTTTGCCATGATGTGAGAGTCCTCTACTCTTGCTAGTTTGCTGAGTGAGTCTTATCCCGGAAGGGTGTAGATTTTTAAAATTTGTTTTTGTTTTGTTTTTTGAGACAAGGTCTCGCTATGTAGCCCAGCCTAGTCTTGAACTCACAGGATCCTCCTGCCTTGGCCTCCTGAGTGCTTTGGAAGGGTGTGGATTTTGTTGAAGGCTTTCTCTGCCTCAGCTGCAGTGCTCCTGTGTGGTGGTCCCCCCGGGCCGCCTGCTTGGAGCCCTGTACCCATGAGTTATGGCTGTGGCCCTCCTGGGCCTGGGGCAGAAGCAGTGGCCTCCATCTGAGGGATGCAGGGAGGGTTTGCTCTCCTGGGTGTTGTCCTGTCCTCGTGGACCCCGTGTCCTTTGAAGAGGACACACTGCAGCCTCAGGTAGAGATGAGTGTGTGTGGGAAGGTGAAGCCAGACTATAGCTCCAGGTGGCCCAGGTGTGGGAATTTTAGATTCGGTGGCAAGGGCAGGACTCTGTGACAGGCTTCCATGTCCCAGGCCTCACTCAAGGGCCTTGCTCCCACCTGAGGACCCACAGGCACAGAGGGGGAAAAGGCTGTGGTCATCCCACGCCTCCTTTTTTTGCAGTACTGGGGGATGCCCTGAGCTACATCCCCACTTTGAGTCACAGCCTAAGTTGCTAAGTTGTCCAGTCTGAGCTTGAACTTGTGATCCTCCTTCGTCAGCCTCCCAAAGTGCCAGGATTACAGCCTTTGTCAGCAGATCTCCAGATGTCACCACTCGATGATGCCCCATGTCCCTCCCATACCCTCCCTGCCTGCCTCTCATAGCTGGCATGGCCACGCCCTATGTTGTCTCGTGCCCCATGGCCCAGCCACACCCCACCTGCCTGTTCCCGCCGCTCCTCTTCTGGCCCAGCCACCAGTGATGATTTCTCCAGGCAGCAGCGTCCAACAGAACTTCCTGCAGTGACAGAAATATCCCGGATCCGCTCTGCCCGATTAAGGGCCCAGCAGCCCATACAGCTCCTGAGCGAGGGAAATACAGCCGGGGAAACAGGGACAAGATTACCATCTGGAGCAGGAGTTCGAGACCAGCCTGGGGTACACAGAGGCCCTAACACAGGCGCGCACACACACACACACACACACACACGCACGTTTTAAATTAATTTTAAAAATTGATTTTTAGATTAATTTAAAATTCCTGTTGGCTGTCTGTATCTTTGAGTTCCTCATTCCCAGATTCAATTAATCACAAATTGAAAACAATCTTAGAAAAGAAAATTACATCTGTACTAAACTTGGAGAACTTTTTCTTGCACCATTCCTTAAACAATGTAGTATCACAACTGTCCTCATAGTACTGACATGGTAGGAAGTATTGTAAGTCTTCAGGAGATGATTTAAAAGCTAGCGTGGCACGACATGCCCATCATCCCAGCATTGGGGAGGCAGAGGCAGGAGGATCACCAGGAATTTGAGGCCAGCCTGGGCTACATAGTGAGATCAAGGCCAGCCTGGACTACATCGAGAGACCCTGACTTGTGTGGAACCACAGGCAGGCTGGGGTGAGACCAATTTGCCAGCCTCCCACTCTGTTCAGTCCGAAGTGTCCTGGAGCCCGCATGCCTTCCCTGGGGGCTCGTCCCAGAGCCCGACTCCCACCTGTGCTCAGCTGGCTTTGCGCCTGGCCCTGGATCGGCCCGAACGTGTCCTGGCAGCCACAGCCTTGGTCCAGGTCAGTGCGAATTTATAAAAGCCCAAGGGGCCGGCAGAGGTCAGTGGTGGAAGGTTTGGCAAACCTGGGAGAAGGCAAAGAGAGAGCATTTGCTACAGAACTTCCAGAGCCTTTCCCACATCCAAGGACATCGTGAATTTCCAGGAGGCAGAAGACATAAGGCATGTTTCCCAAACACCACTCTGGGGAGCCCTTTCTTGGTGGAGAAAGGTGCCTGGTGGTTTGGTGCCTGGATTGGTCTCCTCGCAAGGCTGGGGTGTGCCGTGGTGATCCTTCAGTTTCCTCTTGGGCCGCAGCTCACTGGGTCCTTCATTTATTCATAGAACACAGTGGTTCTGTGCCTACCCGTGCCAGGCCCATGCTGGGGGTGGCACTAGTGTGAAGGCAGGAGTCCAGGGCCTGGCAGGACCTCCCGTTCTCCGCGTCTGCACACGCAGGCTGTGGGCGCGCCCTACTGCTGACCCCTTCTCTCCCGGCCCGCACACTCCCCCTTCCCCAGCCCCCTGATGTCTGTGCTTGCGTGGACGATCCTGTATCTGGAAAACTCCTGTCACTCTCCCCGTTCTGGACGACACCTCCTCCAGAAAGCTCCCTCACCACCCCCGGTTGAGAGCGGAGTCTTCTGTCACACGCTGGGCACCGACACATAAGTGCCTCCCCACCTGATCAGCCGTGTCCTGGCACGAGGACCCGAGCCCAGCACCACCTCGGGGCTCCTCGCAGGCATCACCAAGGTTTACGAAGCGGGCTCTGCTGGGGTCTGCAGAGCGGTCTAGAGGTGCCCTCAGCCGGGCAGGGATGGTTCGGGGATGGCAGCTGGGCAGCAGTGCCATGGATGCCTTGGAGGTCCCTAGATGTGCCCTGGTGCTGCCTTCGGTGCCAGCGTCTCAGCTACCAATGAAGCAGGCCGCCCCTGCTTCAGGGAGGTCCGATTCGCGGTGCAGTGCAGGGGCCGAAGGAGACCAAAAGACCCTCCTTGCAGGGCTCGGCGACCCCTTCCTACTGCGCATGGACTGGGCCAATTCTCCCGGAGCCGCCTGCTTGTGCGCAACCCTGGGTTGTCGTCCTCTGCAGCTCTGGTTCCGGGAACAAGAGGGCAGCCGAGAGCTTCAGAGCGCTGAGGAAGCGGGGCCCACGTGGCTCTAAGAAATAGATGCGCGGGGTGCGCTTTTCTTTATTGAGCTTGTAGCGCTGGGTGGGATCTGAGCCCTTCCCGGGGCGCCTGGGGGTCCTCCGCGGGCACCCAGAGGAAGTCTGATTTCGGCGGCCCTCGTGTCTTTCCGCAGTGGTCCTTCGCCGTCGCCACCATCACAGAAATCCCCCCTGTCATCTTCCTGCCCAACTTCCTGGTCCAGAGAAAGGTGCTGCGGCCGCTTCGGACCCAGACAGGAGGAACCATCATGGTAGGTAGGGTGGGGTGCAGGGTCTCCCAGCCCCTGCGCCCTGCCGTGCCCTCCGCCCACTTAGTAGTTGCACAGAATCCTAAACATCCCTCCAGCCCCAACAGCTGTGACCTATTCTTCCAAAGGCCTTCCCCATGGGGGAACATTAGAATTCACTGTCCCTCCGATGACAGTGACATGTAGGAGACCTCAGCCCTCCAACTTACCCTCCAGAGAGTATATTCCACCGAGGGCCCCCAAGTCCGAGGTGGAAAACGGAACCCTCCCCCACCGTGGGTGTGGCGGTAACACTCATGGCAGAATCAGCTTTCACAACCTGTGTGTGATTTTCTCCCAGTTTGTGGAGCTGATTGGAGGAACAGCTCATACATAAACGATGCTGATCTAACCCAGCCCCAGATCAGCACCTACGGACCCCTCCAATTACCATCCACCCTCAAACTGGATCCTTGCAGGATTTCAGTCACCAATCTGCCATATTTCCATGAGCCAAAAAAAAAAAAAAAAAGGGTCTCTTCTCCCTTCAAAAGCCACGTTAAAAGCACGGACAGGGCTGGGGATTTAGCTCAGTGGTTCCAGCACATACCTCGAAAGTACAAGGTCCTGAGTTTGATCCCTGGTACCAAAAAAAAGCACAGTCAGTGTACTCATAATAATAAATACTTAACTCGGTTTCTTCCGCTTCTTTTGCAAAATTGTCAAGGGGCTTGGGCACTGTGCACCTCCCTTGCTGCCAGCCTGGCCCCTTCTTGCTGGCTGGCTGTATTTGCTGGTGGGCTGGATGGGGTGGCCCTTGTACCCCACCTTATCACTCATTTCCACCCCAGAGCTGGCTGGAAACTGTTCACGGAATGAGTGTGTGAACCACTGGCTGGATTATTAGATGAATGGGTGCATTAATGAACGAGGGAAGGGACTGGCTAGATCCCTCCCCCTCTGCTTGTCTCTGAAGGCAGGGAAGCTGGCTGTGGATCGAGGCTGGGCCATCAATGTGGGTGAGTGCCAGGGAAAGGGACCTGGAGCAGGGAGGGACAGGGACACCCAGAAGCACTGCCTCTGTCTGATGTAGGCTTGGTCGAAGGGGTCCTCCTTGCATACTTCCGATGATGGGGAGCTCCTACCTCCCCAAACCTGTGCATCCCCTGGGCATCTGTGCGTGGGAATGATGCCACCTTGTTGGGGGTCCCCAGGATATCTGTCTGTCTCCTGGGGTGCAAGGCTTGGTCATGTGCTGGGCGGACGGGCCACAGGTCAACACCACCTTCTCAGGGGTCCAGAGCCTGGTGCTCCCGACTCCCACGGGACTGGTTCAGGCAGGAGGCCTGCACATATGTGGCCCCCTCATCCCTGTCCTTGTTCCAGGGGTGGTTGTGGGTCCATTTCAGAGGACCTTGCCACTCAGGGCCTCCAGAAGTGTGGGGGAAGGGACCCTGGGCACGGGCTCTGAGCTGTCCTGGGCTTGGGAGGTGGCCAGAGCCCCTGTCGCCATGTCCCAGCCACCCCTCCCAGTGTGGGAGCCACACAGGCCCCGCGCCTGCCTGGGGGAGGTGGGTTCCCTTTGCGGAGTGAGCTCCCTCCCGTGATGCTGCCCTGCCTCCTCGCCGGTGCACAGGGACCTTCAGGCACTCAGGACTTTGCTGAGCAGGGCGGGGACGCTGGACTGGAGGGACAGGGAGAGCCTGGCCCTGACCAGTGCCCCTCCCCTTCCACAGGGGGCGGCTTCCACCACTGCTCCAGCGACCGGGGTGGGGGCTTCTGTGCCTATGCTGACATCACGCTGGCCATCAAGGTGTGTCTCCAGGGAGCCCTCAGTGTCCTCCCTGCAGCCTGTCTGGTGCTTTCTCCCCGCCTTCTGGACAGGGGTCCAGGCTGGGGCTCAGATCCCGACCTGCCACTGCCACTGCTCTGTGTGCTTGGAAGGACAGCTCTCCGTGGAAGGGACTTGTCACGGCCTCCCCAGCCCCAGGGACCCAGGACGGGCGTTTGTTGGGGTTCAGTTATGGGAGGCAGGGCTGTCCTGTGGGGACCAGGACAGGGAGCAGCAGGAGCAGCAGGAGGAGGCCTAACGGTCAGGGTGGACAGCTGTGACAGAAGTAAGACTGGCTGGCACCCATGATGTCCACCCCATGCTGCCCCCCTCCACGACTCCCTGGTTGAACCCTCATGTGTTGCAGACAGGGAAACTCGGGACCAGAGCGGGGAGCTCACTGTTCACCCAGCCTTGTGCTGGGTGTCCGCAGTGGGTGACGAGGCCCCCTTCTCCCAGAGCACACAGCAGCTGGCGGGTTAGCAGACCTGGCCGCTGGGAGATGGGGAGCACAGGAGTCCCCGGGCGGGGAGGAGGGAAGGGACTTCCCAGAGGAGGCAGTGTTAGGGCTGGCCTTGTAGGATGAGCCAGAGACTGGCCGGTGAAGTTCGAGGGCTGGAGGCTTGTCCCTTAACTCCAGGCAAGTCCGGGGCCTGGCCCCAGGGCTCCCACACGCCGCCTCCTCCAGGGAGCCTCCCTGACACCCCCTGTGTGCATGTGGCTTCTCGGGGCCCCCAGCTCCCCTGCGAGTGTGAGTGCTGTCTCTGCCCGCCCGTCCCCTCCCGCCCTCCCCTCAGGGGTACCTGGTCCTCTGGCCGTCAGTCCATCCTCACCTTGTCCCTCCCCTCCCGGGCAGTTCCTGTTCGACCGAGTGGAAGGCATTGCGAGGGCCACCATCATTGATCTTGACGCCCATCAGGTGAGTGCCCTGCAGGAGGGAGCCCAGGTCCTAGCTCCTCCTGCACATCCCCAGCCACCCATCTCTCACCCCGCCCCACCCAGTGGGACCCCAGGAATGTCCCCAGGCTGTTGCTCAGAGCTCCTGTGTCCTGCAGCTGGGAGTGGGGCTCTGCGCCTGGCCCAGTGCCCCACGTGGCCTGGCCTACCGAAGGCTCTGGCATCTGTGAGCAGGTCCTGCGTCGTTTCCACAGGGCAATGGACACGAGCGAGACTTCATGGGTGACAAGCGCGTGTACATCATGGACGTCTACAACCGCCACATCTACCCTGGGGACCTCTTCGCCAAGCGTAAGCTGCTGCCCCTGGGGCGGGCCTGGCTCTGAGCACTTTGTGGGCCTGCGGGGGTCACCCCACCTCTCTGCACCCCTGAGGGTGGGGTTGTTCCCAGTGTGCACAGGAGCAGACTGAGGAGCAGGTGACCTCCTCAGGGGCCCACAGCTGCCCAGGACACAGGTGCAGGGCTCTGTGCATTAGGGAACCACTGGAGCAGCCCCAAAAGGGAGAAGGAGATAAAGAGAATGCACAAGGTAGGCAGAGAGAAGTTCCAGTATAAGAGCTGTTAAAGGGCAAATGAAAGTAGAGACAATGCATTGATCCAAACGCAGGAATTTTCAGATGAGATTTGCAAGTAGGAGCTGCCCATTCTCCAGGTCTAGGCCTGTGATAGTCAGCTTTCTGTGGCTGTGACAAAATGCCTGAGCTAATAAATTTACAAAGCAGAAAGGTTCATCTGGCTCCTAGTTCTGGAGGGCTCCATGGTGGCCCAGTCGGCACATCATGGCTGGAGCGTAGTGGAGCAGAGCTGCTCGCCCCACACCCACCAGGAGCAGAGCCCCCACTGGACATGGCCAGGTGACCTCACTGCCTTCCACTTAGCTCCACCTCCTGAAGATTCAGCCACCTTCCGCTAGCTCCACAGGCTGATAATCAGTCCTTTAGCCCACAGCCTTGGGGGGCGCTGCACAAGGTGCTGGCTGTGGTGTGGCTAAGCTAAGGCCGGCCCAGTACAGCCCAAGGTTTCTGAACTGAACCCCAAGTGCATGGACCTGGGGCCTGAGAGTCGGGCAGAGGATGAGGTCAGGGGTCTCTGGGTGCCCTGGCTCTTCACAGCTCTTCACAGCTCTCAGGGCCCTCCGGAGAGGCCAGGCTGGGTCAGGCACTTCCTTGGCTAAGCCTCCGTTTCCCTCCCGTGCCCGTGGGGCCGTGGCTGTGTCCCTCTCAGAGGCCATCAGGCGGAAGGTGGAGCTGGAGTGGGGCACAGAGGACGACGAGTACCTGAGCAAGGTGGAGAGGAACGTGGAGCGGGCCCTGCGGGAGCACCTGCCCGACGTGGTGGTCTACAACGCGGGCACCGACGTCCTGGAGGGGGACCGCCTCGGGGGGCTGTCCATCAGCCCCGGGGTACGTCCACACTTGGGGGCAGGGCGCCGGGCGAGGGGTCAGGGAGGAGCTGGGCCGAAGCCGCAGCAGCGGGGTCGGGTCGGCCTGAGCCCAGCCTCCCCACCCACAGGGCATCCTGAAGCGGGACGAGCTGGTGTTCCGCGTGGTCCGGGCTCACCAGATCCCCATCCTCATGGTGACCTCGGGCGGGTACCAGAAGCGCACGGCCCGCATCATCGCCGACTCCATCCTCAACCTGCACGACCTGGGGCTCATCGGGCCCGATTCGCCCAGCGTGTCGGCCCAGAGCTCGGACTTGCCGCCGCTGCCGCCCGCGGGGCCCTGACCCCGCCTCCCGCCTAGGTGTCTCCTGCCTGCCTCTGGGCCCCGCCCGCCGCCGCCCGCCTTCGCGCGTCTTCTCTCACCTTCTGGCCGGGAGGTGGCGCCAGTGACGGGTGGGAAGGGCAGGGCCGTCCCAGGGAAGCCTCACTCGGGCCTGGGAGGCAGGTAGTTCGTAAGCTTAGAGGTGCGGGAGGCCCGGGTCTGCAGGGAGGCCCGGGCGGGGCTGGCGTCCGTGGGAGACGGAGGGAGTGCCTGGCGGTCCTGCGGTCCTGCGCTGTGGGAGGCGCCTGTTGGCTCCTCCCCTCGAGGTGGGAGCGGGCTGGATGCGGGGAACCTAGGGCAGGTGCGGCAGGCTCTCCATCTGGGGTTCGCTTTCCCGGCGCCTCTGTAGGATGAGAGCCCTGAGGTGAGGACACCTGTACCCTGCTTTGGAGGGTCCCCCCTGTTCAGCGTGAAGCAGGTTCGAAGGGAGGAATCCTCAGCTCAGAAATGGGGCCCAGCCCCGGAGCCTCAGGTGGAGCAGGGCAGAAAAAAGTGGGGCCCAGCAGCAACAGGCAGGGTCCCGGCCAGGCTCCCTGGAGGCTGGGGAGGATGACGACTAGGGGAGGCCGGAAAGCGGGAGGGGCGCGTGTGTGCTGCCCCCGTCTCTCCCCGCCCACGGCCTTTCCCCATCCCTCCTCTGAAGGTGACATTCAGGAAGCTGGAGGGAGCGGCCACCCCTCCTGGGCAATGGCAGCCACTTTGACCCGAGGTGGAGGGGTGGGGAGGGAGGTGTTGAAGCTCACAAACTGTCCACCCGCTGACCCCTGGCCCAGACCCAGGGCACTAACAATGCACTTTGACAGCCCCGCCCTCTCTGTGGTCCCCGGTGTCTGACTCGAGGCACTTAACAGCCCTCATGCCCCATGCAAGCCTGACACTGGGTGCTGGGGATGGACACAGTTTGTCCTGAGGTGCCTGAAGGCCCGGCTGCCCTGTGTTCTGGAGGAACTGGCCCTGCCTCCCGGGACGAGAGGAAATAAAGACTTAACATGCACGCAGCAGGAGGCCCGATGCGGGTCACTGCCCAATAAAGGCTGGTGTTTTATTCCATCGCGGAGTCCTGAGGTGTCAGTACCTGTTCCCATTTAGCAGAGCAGGAAACTGAGGCTCAGTGGGGTGGCCACACATCATTGGAGTCACAGAGCCTGGCTCAAACCCAGTTCTGCTGGATTGCAGTGTGGTCTGGGCCCTTGCAGGGGTAGAGGGTGAGGAAGGGGTTGCTCCCCAGACGGGGGAGCCCAGGTCCCTGGGGGCTGAGGTCACTGGGGTCTCGGGCAGGCAGTGAGGGGCTGCAATCAACTCCCTGTGTGGGCTGGGAGCTGTGGGGGGAGGAGGGCCCCTCCCAGGGCACAGCTGGAGGGAGCTTCATGGGATGGGGCGGGGCAGGCAGGCAGGACAGAAGTTGACCTCGGCCTGGCAGAGGGACCCAGATGTGCTGCTATGGTCCAGCCTGGGTAGGGAGCCCTCTGGGTCAGACAGTGCCAAGGTGGGGAACATCCAGCAGGCCAGGTCAGCCCTGGCAGGGTTGAGATGGACATGGGCCACCTTGACAGGTGGTACCACGGGCCCAGCCCTGTCCCTGGCTCTCAGGGAGGGGTGGGGGTGACCTGCTGAGCCACACACACTGGGAGGCGGGAACGACTTCACCCCTATGTTAGAAGGTAGGAATTGAGGCCCAGGAGGGGTTCGTTCCTGCTGAAAGCCCCTGGCCTTTAAGCAGAGGAGGGAGGAATTGAGCCAAGGCCCCAGCTCCTGAATCTGCAAGCTGTTTCCTCCTCTGTAAAAGGAGAGCCAGAGATGCTTACCAGAAGGGGCTGTTCCATAGACAAATGGCCCAGCACCTGGGTGCATGTGGGGTACCTGCCCTGTGGGTTCTGGTGACCCTGGGAATGGTCAGCAAGTGGAGGAGGGGGTAAAAGAGGAAGGAGGGAAGGAAGGAGAGAAGGATGGAAGAGGAGGAGGAAGGAGGAAGGAGGAGGAGCAGCGTCCCAGGATCAGGCAGAAACATGGCAGGGTTGAAGCATCTGGATCTGCTCCTAGGACCTGGCACGGCGCTGTGTGCACCTCGCACCTGGTTACAGAAACCCCAGGCCCACGCCATCTCAGGAAGCCCTGGCCCTTCGTGGGTGCTGGCAGCAGGGACGGGGCTGGGGGAGGCCTCGGCAGGCTGGAAAGCCATCACCATATAGGGGCCCACTGTGGGCACCCTTGGCTCAGGCCAGCCCATCAGGCCCGGGTGGTGAGTTTGTGCAGAAGCCCAGCCAGAGACCACCCTGTGCCTTGGGAGTGGGCAGAGCTTGGCCGAGCAACTGTGCATCTTGTGGCAGCCTTTGTTCAGCTGACAAGATGGGCGCCCATGTGTGCATATGCACCTGAGTGTGTGCATGTGTGTGTGTGTGTGTGTGTGTGTGGTACAGGTGAAGCTCAGAGCTGGGCCCGGAGCAGGCACTGCGTGCCCACCCCACCCTGCCCCAGGGCCCCCAGCACCATGGCCACCGTGAGCCTGCTGAGGTCGGGCGAGTGCCTCTCTCAGCTGTCCCCTGTGTGCATGTCACAGCTCTGTCCCTGTGTGGGGCTAGGGGAGCAATTTCCAGCAGGAACCAGCAGTGCCTGGCTCCAAGCAGCCCCTGGAGACCCTCAAGGCTTAGCTATCAGGGTCCTGGCATGGAGCAGGGGCGCAGTGACTGTCCTCACCCTGCCGCCTCCAGTGTGAACACAGAGGGCTGGCACAGTCCCCAGCCCTGTGCTGGGGAACTTCGGGTGGATCTGAAGGAAGTGTTGGGATGCAGCCTCCAGGGCTCCCCAGCCAAGTGTTGGGGTGTGGGCTGGGAACCCCTCCAGGACAGCTGCCCGCATGGTTTCCTTCAGCTCTGCCAATGCCAGCTGGGGATGCACGCCGTGGGCCCAGGGCCAGCATGGGGAGGCTCGTGCTACACAGTGAGCAAGACTGTCACATGATTGTTAGGGAAGCAGCTGGGGATGGGCTGCACATGTGGGCTCCAATCCCATCCCTCCCATCATTAGCCCGTTAGCCGGATGTCTGCCTCTCTCTGCCTTAGTTTACTCATCTGTGAAATGGAAGCAACAGCACCTGCCCTGTTGGTGTCACGAGAATGAAATGATATTTGTAAAGCACTTAAAGCGTGGGGTAAGCAATTGGTTCACCTATCATTTCCATCATCATCACCCCCATGCTCATCACCACCATTTATTTGCAATTTTTTTTTTTTTGAGATAGGGTCTCGCTCTGTATCCCAGGCTGGCCTCAAACTCACTGTGCAGCCCAGGCTGGCCACTAGCTGCCTCCCTGCAGCCTTCCTAAGGGTCACCACAGCCCTGTCCACCATCCCCACAGCTCCTGGGCCAGAACCTTGAGGTCCAAGGTACCAACAGGGAAACTGAGGCTCCAGTCTTCACTGACTGGGCACAGGGCACAGCGGGCATCCTCATAGGGGTCTCCAGAGAAAGAATGCAGGGTCCGGAGTTGGCCAGCCCAGGTCAACACCCACTTGTGCGACATACCTGGCCTCTGTCTTAGTCACTTTCTCATTGTTGTGACAAAATGCCCAATACTCACAACTTTAGGAAGGAGTGGTGTATTTTACCATGTATTTCAGTCCTTCGTTGGATGGCTCCAAGGCAGGCAAGGACAAGCCCCGGCAGAGTGGTGTGGCAGAGGAGAGCTGCTCGGGGCATGGTGGACAGGAAGCAGAGAGAGAAGGGAGGGGCTGGGGAGGGAGATGAGCCCTTCAGGCCACGCCCCAAGCCCCGCCTCCTGTCAGGCCCCCCCACCAGGCCACACCTCCTGAGAGCATGTCAGCTCTGAGCCTGAGCCTGTAATCTATCACCTTCCCAAAGCCCCGCCTATGAGCCCATGAGGCTCCTGGGGACATCTAGATGGAAACCGTCAGGACCTGCCTTCCTCCGTGGAGGGCTCAGATCCAGGAGCAAGGTTCACAGCAGGTGCATAGTGCAAGTGACATTGGCTTCCTTTCAGCCTCATTGCCTCTTCAGCCCAGGACCAGAGGCCACGTCATTGCTCAGTCTCTAGTTTGGGGGACCCCAGTGGGCTGTGGGGGCCCTCTAATCAGGACACCAGACTAGACTTGCCCCTCACACTCACGGAATAGGGGCCTGAGCCCTGTGGGCCAGACACACAAAGCTGTCTACCAGCCCGGACAGTTCAGGTCTGAGGACTTTGGAGACATAGCCAGACCAGGCCTCTGGATGCTGGTGGGCCTCCGTGGAGCTCACTGCAGCATCCCCAGCCCAGGCAACAGTCTGGGTGGGTCCCTGTCCCCAGCCCATGGAGGACAGCTGGCTTTCTGGGATGGCCTTTCCCATCAGCAAAGTCCAGGCCTGGAGTTGGAATTGAGCTTACATCTGGGGTTTCAGTGACATCACTGCCGTGTGCTTCAGTCTCCCCTTGTAAACGGGGGTGCTGATCCTTCCCTCCCAGGGCTGCTTGAGGGGAAGGGAGGCAGGAAAAAACACCAGCCTTGGTTCCCCCACACCAGGGCTAGCTGGAGAGCCACCCGGAGCCCACCAGTCACCCCTGCGTGTCCTGAGCTGGGGCCCCCTTCAGAAGGAGGTCCGCGTGACGGGTACAGACACGGGGCCTAGCAGTGGGTTCAGGTCCTGCTTCTGCCTCTGTTCTCCATGTGACTTCTGCCACGTGACAGCTCACTGCCTCAGTTTCACCATCATCACTTGGGGTGCACGGGATGTAGGGGTGAATGAACCCTCTGAAGCCCCAGCACCGCACGTGTTCAGCTCAGCTCTTGTGACTGGGGGCTGCGGGGTGATAAAGGCAGTGAGAATCACCAGCCCCACCCGCTGAGCCTGACAGATGGTGTCCAGTGACCTCGCCATTGTTTCTGGGGCGCCAGGCCCTGTGTGGGCTCCGCAGCCCCATGAATTCTAGGTTTCCCCAGGGCAGGACACAGGGTCGCTGCAGCTCGGGGTCACCCAGGACAGACAGGGAAACCGAGGCCCGCAGAGACTCAGTCCTTCCAGGATGGAAGAGCCCGAACGCCTCGCTGAGCCTGACATCCGCATCTGGGCGACCTGGGACGCATGAGCTCTCCACCCCTGGGTCGCGCTGTGAGTTCTGGGGCACCTTGCAGGGGCTGCGGGCTGTTGTGGGACCTGTAACCGACACCCAGGCGGCAGCCAGAGGAAGTCTGGGAGCTTTTCTGTCTGCTGCGCTCACGGCTTTTGGAAATTCCCGGGCCCATCTGGTCCTGGTTACGCAGCAATATTGCTGTCTCCGCCGAAGTGCAGACAGCGAGCGCTTTCATTTCTCCATTTGGCTCAGGAATGCTCCTTAATCAGCCCGCAGATGCCCACTGGGTGCTCAGGGTTCCCACGGGCACCGCGCCCATCGCCCTTGTAAAGGAACACGGTGGCTCTTTTCCCTCGCTCCCTGCAGCCCCTCAGAGCTTCCCCCGCAGTCCTAAAAATGCCAGGGAACAGCAGATGCTTTGGGATGTCCCCCAAGCTCCAAGGGTTCTTATGGGGACAAGAACGCCTGAGATGAGCCGGGCTCATGGCACATGCCTGTGATCCCAGCACTTGGGAGGCTGAGGCAGGAGGATTGCTGAGAGTTTGAGGCCAGCCTGCTCTGTGAAATGCGGATGGAAAGTGGGGTGAAGGCCTTCGGGAAGGTGTGGCTGTCGATGGCCATTCCATACCCAGTGGCACCTCTGCCACCCCCAGCCACCCTGGACTGGACAGGAACAAGTCCACAGCTCCACATCTAAGTCTCCTGTGGGGTCCAAGCTGGGCTGCTCCTGCACCAGGGCTCTAGTCTGCTTGTTCCCTGGGGTTCTTGTCCTTCAGGCCCCTCAGGGCTCCCACTGGCAGCCTGTTGCATATAATCCCAGCACTGAAGGAGGCTGAGGCAGGAGGACTGCAAGTTCAAGTGCTACCTGGGCAGCGCTGCAAGATTCTGTCCTTAAAAAAATTTAAAAAGAGCCAGAGATGCACGTCGATGTGAAGACCCTGGGTTTAACGCACAGTATTAAAAAGCCAGTGCGTGCAGGCAGTGG